GTCTGGTTTCAAGATGCGGAGAGTATTCTCAGAATCTGCATCTTTTTTCCTTTAGCCAATCAGCCTGGCTCAACTAAGAGAGGTTCATCTGAGGACCACCATCTCTCCCCTCTTGCTCGGTGTGCTTTACCGATGGGTTTTTGCATATGGTAGCCACTAGCCTGTGTGGTTATTTAAATTAAAATGAACTGAAATTAAACACAACTAGATGTTTGGTTGCTCCATTGTGCTTGGTATATTTCATTGCTGAATGTGGTCAGGGTCTGCTGTATGAGACAGAGTGGATGGAGACCGTCTCAATCCACGTGGCAGTTTCTGCTGAACCGTGTAGCTTTGTCATGTTGCAGAATCCCCAGGAGCAGATCCTCTCTTTGTGGTTTCCTGCTGTCGCACTGCATGCCTCTGCTTGCTTAGCACATCTACCCATCTACCTAGAAGATGATCAAGTGGAGTACAGGGACCACCTGAGTGGTGTTGCTTCCCAAGCCGGGGCAGGGATGGTTTATTGTTGGTGCTCACTGGGCACTAAGTCCACGAGCAGATGGGTGGATACACTGGAGGGCTGCACTGTCCTTCATGTCTGGGGATCCAGAGTCATCTTTTGTATGGTGGCATGGTCACCCTCTTAAAGCCTCATCTATGGACCTCATGTTTGGTTGTAAAATCAATCACAGGTCCACACAGCATCCAAACAGATGAAAATGAGGCATTGCCTTTGGTTGGAGATGGCCGTCAGCCATGGCCCTGTGAGGTCTTGTGATGCATTATAGGGCCCAGGGGCCTAGTAATTTCTAGACAGAAGTCCTTCTTGGGAGCTCTTCTACAGCTGAGGACCACCTCTGTGGGTCAGGCTGGGCAGCAGTGGGAAGCTGTGGCAGACAGAGCATTCCTCTCGTTGTGCAGCGGGTCTTGGGTATAGCTGCCCTTGGTGTCTCTGTTGTTGCAGAGCAAACCATTTCCAAACTGAATTTATGACCTGGAATTCAGTGCTGCCCGTGAGGCCTGTAGCTTGTCACTTTTGTGAGCTGTAGCGCAGATAGTAAAGTAACCTCTGCAGGTTTGCAAAAAGAAAAACCCTGTCTCTTCTCTT